AACGTACGACGACGACGACTAACTAACTAACTAACGTAGTAAGTAGTAGAAGTACGTAACCTAAACTAACCTAACTACTACGATAGATACTACGACTACTACTCTCTCTCTCTCTCTCTCTCTCTCTCTCTCTCTCTCTCTCTCTCAGAAAGATATCCATGTAGAACCTGGAATTCTTCTATGTCAGTATCAGTAAGTCGCTGCTGGCGTCTGACTTTCTTGCCATCTTCACTCACAACCTTCAAGGTAGAGTCAGAAAATGGATGAAAGATTAATGAATAAGAAGCAGAAAAAGTCATGGATAAAGTGACTATATACAAAAGAAGACAGAGTGACTATCTAGAAAAGAAGACATGGATAAAGTGACTATCTCACAAGCTTAGATGAGGACCGAAGTGCTGTTGCAAGCATATGATTGTTGTTAACGAGGGCTTTTATTTTCTTGAAGGATGCAATCAATGATATTGAGACTGCAAAATAAAAGGTGGACCACCCTTTTAACATTATCTCTCATTGATTCAGTAGAAATGCAGTTCTCGCTAAAAACAAATGGAAGGATCATAAGAATATTCATAGCATCAAACATTGTCAAAAAGATAAACTGAGGAAAGGAGCAATTATCAGTAAAACATAAGCGTATTCCTTTGCATAGCTGGAATGAGCAAGTTCTCTTACCATAGCCTTCTGGGTCTTTATTCATTTGTTTCATCAAGTAGTCATTGGTAGCCAGACTTGAATCACTTAAATGATACTCCACCTGTTACAAGTGCCATTTTCAAAGCCGAAAAGGTATGGAATACATATTCTTTCATACTTGATGAAAATGAGGAGGAATTACTCATTACTTAGAAAGACAGACCACTATATGGACACATGTTGAGAAAATTTTATAATCAGGACTAAAACAGAAATTCAAGTAGTAAAAATTGTAAAATGCATACGATCTCTCCCATTTTATCGAGGATTCAAATTTAAGAAGCATCAGTCATTAGTAAATGAATATCATTCTCATGATGTCAAATAACCAAAATATAAAACAAACAAGGATATAGAAGTAACACCAACCAACCCACAATAAAAGATTCAAGATATCAAAATCAAAGCAAGTTAACTTCAAACAACATTGAGGCACTATAAGGATCAAACCCAAATGAAACCCAGAATTATAACAGGTTCTGGATTGAAAAATACACTGGAATATAGATATGTGCAGAATGGCATAGAAAATTCAACAACCAAGATGAGAATAAGAAACAATTACAAAATTCAGAACTTCAGTTCAAATTTCAGTCAAAATTCTTAAAAAATAATTCATATATAAAACCTTTTGTGTACCAAAATCCAGTAAAAACACGAAGAAAAATGAAAATAATCAAGCATACTTCACTCATACCTGTTTAATAATCTTCTGCTTAAGCTCATCAGTGAGAATTTCTTTTGAAGAAGAAGTAGAAACCATTTGCAGCTGCCCTGATTCTCCTCCATAAATCCAACCAGTACCACTAACCTGGAAAGAAGGATACATATAGGCAGAGACATGGGCTTGAGCTTGAGCTCTAGGAACAAACTCAGGGGCCTGAGCATTCAATTTGCTAAATGAGACAATCCTCTCTAATGGAGCCTCTGCTGATTCCTGAGGCCTTTCAGGATACTCCTGCGACATTTCAGCCCAAAAATTCAACCAAATCAGTTAAAAAATTAGTGTTTTCAGAGCCTACTGAAAGAATTCTCTGTAAGTATTGGTCCAAATTTGGGGGTTGCCTGGACCTCAATTAGGCAATAATTGATCAACAAAAAATAGTGATTCAAGAGATTCCTATAACAATTTACTGCAAAATTTGGTTTTAGGGTTAGTATTTGTTTAGAATATTGATCTCTGTCTCACTCTCTCCTGGTTCTTCTGGTTTCTAGTGTTGAGAAACATTTCTCAGATCGCGATGCTGTTCTTGCTATTACCACCCAAAATATAGGTGGTATTATTAGACGGAGACAATGATATAAGATCCACCACTCTTTTGGGTGGAAATAGTGAAATCTGCATAGATAGCAGTTCCCTTTTCCTCGTTCAAAGTTTGATTCTTTCCCGCGCGTATTTTTAGGGTTTTCAGTTCGCACAACCGTCTCAGTGAATGAGAAAATTACCCTTTTCAATAAGGACATTTTACCCTCCGATTTTTTTTAAGGGTGTGGTTTGTAAACGGCTTAGGCCCTAAACAATTAACCTAAAGCGAACCTTCAAATGGTGTCAAAAGTTGTTGTTTAGGGGTTAGAATTCTGACCACCTGGTTAACGTTTCGGCCTGTTTTGGTGAATCGGTCGGGGTATTTTAAAAATAATTTAAAAAATTTATATAAAATACCGAAAAAATAAGGGATTTTATTTGTAATGTATTTTTAGTGTTTGTCATCATTTTAGCAAATATTGAAAAGTATTTTGGCCATTAATACTTATTTTACATTTTTTCATCTTTTTTATAAAATTTAAGAATATCTTTGGGTACAAATCGATACTTTAAAATCCATTTTTTTCATTAATTTTCAACTTCATTTGAATGTGTTTTGTTTAATCATACTTTAAATATATTTTTCATATTTTATTAGATTTTTTTGTATTTTTTTAACATGTTTTTGACCGCCTGGGACTTGCCTAGTTAGGCAAATTGAACCGGTTGGTTCACCGATTAGGCCGGTTGAACTGCTTCCAACTCATGTCCGGTTAACCATTCCGGTTCTATTTTTCCTACACTAGTTTCAAGCCATCATGAAAGATGTTGTTTCAAGCTATCATAAAAGATGAAATTAAATTTTTAGGTCATCATAAAGATGTCTTCTACTGAAGCAACATATTTGGACTCTGTTTTGCAAATCCGGATCCGCTAATTATTCTCTGATAGCCTCTTTTTCCCTCTCCCTCTAATGTATCATAGAATTGTCTATTGACAAACCTCTCAATCTCCCTCACTAGAATATTTACCTCTTTTCTCACTTTGGATGACAATGCTTAGGCTCATAGTATTGTCAATTTCATATAGGATTGTTGCCGAGCAGGTGATCAAGATCTATTTTACTAACATGTTATATTATTGTCTTATTCTTGTACTTATCAAAAAAAAAAAATGTCCTTTTGTTCATATGGAATTCCTTTCATCTAGATCAAACTACTGAAGTTTTTCATCTTTCATTTTTGAAATTCAGTTCACAATAAACTCTTAAAATTCTTGAGGTGTTAAAAAGTGAATTTTGATTTTGAAGTAATTATCAATTGAGATTAGTCTTCATAATATCACAATAGCACCTAATTATTGTGAATGGTTATTATCTCGATCTCTTCTTCATGCGTATATGTGAATGTTTGATTTTCTTGTGATCATTGATCCATTATTGCCATAGTTTGATGCATTTAACGATAAAGTAAGGAACCAATTGGGTAAATACTGAAGCTCCTTTAAGAAAAAATGGTTATCTGTAGTTGGAAATATTTTATATAAGGTTGCAACCTTAAACTTTTTAAAGCAAGGTGCACATAAAAAATCTTCTAAAAGAGAGTATTTCGATGTTGGAGAACCCTCCAATTGATTATCTCAACCTCGAGATGAATGTATATTAAGAAAACAAGAATTTCAAGTACTAAAAATAGTGCATCTTGTAATAAAATATTTAGACCATTTATTTTCAAGATCCATAAATCTGCTCAATCAGTACTATTTTTTAAATTTTAAATTTCATAACTAAAGTTGAAAATAGATTTTCAGACCATCATAAGATTTCCGACATTAAAACTACATCTCAAAGCAAATTTTAAATGTGCGCCTTACTTGAGGGCGCCTCATGCAAACATCACGCTTTATGGTTTCTACTCCTACAAGTGATTGGTTGTTGTTGCTTAATCAAGTTTTCAATATATTAATAATTTTTTGAGGGGAGTAGAACTAAAAATTTTTTGTTTCAAGTGGAGAAATCTTTAAATTCTTACTATACCTTCTAGAAATTATCAATGATTGTTTGTCAAGCTTGATCAATGCTAGCATGGCTTTAGAGAAAGCACATAAATATGGCTAATTATCAAGCATATATGATCAATATCACCATAATAATTATTAAAATCTCAAAGAACAAGAAATCTAGATGCCTTGAAATCCTTTTCCTTAATGCAAACATAGTTGTGCTAATTTACAAAATAAAAAAGTTTATACAAGATTGCAAACTTAAAATGTGGAGTTAAAGATGCACCCCAAAAACCCATCAGAAAATGTGATGTTAATGTTGAAAAACTTTCTAATTGATCATCTCGGCATCGAGATGTATAAATATGTAAAAAAAAAAAAGAAAAAGAAAAAATATTTTGAGTCCCAGCAATAGCGCATCTTAAAACACATTTTCTAGACCGTCTATTTTCGAGATTTTCATATGTTTATAGATCTACTTGATTTTGACCATTTTTGAAGTTTAAAATTTTATAATTAAATATAAAAATAGATTTGAGATAATCCTAAGATTTTTTTATACCAAAACTACATGTTATGATATATGATTTGGAGGTGCGCTTTAATTGGATTATTTAAGGTTGCAACCTTATAAAAACCACATCTTTTAAAAAAAAAAAAGAGGAAAAAAGGTTTGAGTTGCAGACCTTTTATTGTTTGGGGATTTAAATATTCTTATCCTAGAACAATTTTTTGTGTTATTGAACTTTAATTTTTAGTGGACTAAACTGTAATAAGGGGAAAGGGATAACAATAAGGGAAAATGACCAGCACCCCCCTCCCAATTTTCATCCCTTTTAAACCTTCGGGTCCTCAGAAATCCCTTAGATCTCCTCAGGTTTAAATCTTGAGGATGTCAGCCCCGGAACTACGATTTTCTTTATTCTTTTTACCGAATTTCATCATTTTATTTTACAAAATATCAAATACGTCCATTAATGAAAACAATTTCCCTCTCTCTTTTCTCTCTCTTCCGTTGCCTAAAACCAAGAATGGTGTAATGTCCATGTCTCTTCCTTCACAAGCACAAGCTTTCTCTTCCCTCCCTCACTCTCTCTCTCTCTAAATAATGTACGGACTTATTGATATTTATTTATTTTTATAATTTTTAGGCTTTTAATTTCTCCTCTACCCAATGCTACACCCTAAAACTCCTAATCGTTAACTCCCAAAATCCTAAACCCTACTCGTTGATGCTTCTTGAACGAGTTGCACATGATTATTGTACTTTGTTTAAGTGGAAAAATCACTTATACCATTAAGAGACGTACAATAGAGATGATTTTGGGGTTCTTTCGTTTTGTTTTGAATTTTGGATCAGTATATCATTTCTTTTGAGAAATGACTGTTTTTGGTAAATAATGTGTGATAAAGGATGAAAAAGTGGGGTGCTGGTCCTTTTTTTTATAAATTTTAGGAGACCAAGGACCTAGGGGTCTATGAGGCCGTAAGTATGAGAGAGGGGGTAGTAGGTCATTTTCCCTATAATAATAATGATGATAGCTTTCAAGGCAAGTAAAAACTAAGACTGAAATCTTTTTTTTTAGTCAAATAAATATCAGGCATATATAAAACAATATGGATTTCAGACAGAATTATTTTGTGAGAATGTTATCTATACTGCTAAGCATAACCCCAAATGCTTTTTAAATCACACAGCTAACCCGCTTATTAGTTATTTTCTCATCCCTTTGCTTTTTCTCTCGAGGCTTTCAAATTTTTAGGGAGTTTCTCTCTTTAAAATTTTGAAATGTTAAATAGTTTTTCTCTCTAAACTTTTGAGATAGTTTATCTATCTAGAAACTTAAAATTTGAGATAGTTTTTCTCTTTAAAAATTTTGAAATAGTTTATCCCTCTAAAATTTTAAATTTCGGGTTTTTAAAAAGAGAATCTTGGGTTTGCACACTAGGGGTATTTTCATCTAAAACAAAGCTATTTTCTTCCTTAGGAAGGTGACTGCAAAATTAAATGGTACTTGGGTTGATTGTGTAATTTAAGAAGTACAAGGGGTAAACATTATTTCTCCCTTTTTTTTTTTGAAAGGATTAACCTAACCCAATTAGTTGGGAAAAGGCTTTGACGATGATGATAACATTTTCTAAAAAGATTTATCAGAAAAATATTGTGCAGGTTATTCCTTCCTTTTTATTTACTTAATAATTTAGAGTCTTTAGATATTTGTGGCGTTAATTAGTGGATAGTGGATACTAACATTATAATAAATTGTTTTAAAACGCAGGTTTCAAATCACCTAAATGAAAATTCAGGTTTCCAATTCCAATTCCCAAGCGAATTGCAGACCCTGTTATCAAGTGCGCACTAAAATTCTAATAAAGTTGGTTGAATTTGCAAAGTAAATAATTGCTCATTATTTTTACAATCTTAAAATCATATAATACATATTTTACAGCATTAGTATCTTTCCTCCAACTTATCAATGCTAGTGTGGGTTTATCCTATGAAAATTTCATCATCATCATCATAATTTTTTTCCAATTGATTAGGATCGACTATACGTAAAAAGAGTTATATATCTTGGCTTAATGGTCTAGGTGGTGAAACCGCAACATGACATCAAGAATTTCAATTCTACCTTACTTTACGGTCCAAAAAATATCCCAAATTACTTTTTACATAAAATATGCAAGAGAGAGTACTTTGTAAAGTTGCAACTCAAATGTTGTTAGAAAAAGTGGTTTCTTCATTGGTAAAACTGCAAATCAATCATTTCCACCATGAAAAATATGAAAAGGTTTCTACATTGGAAAACCTACAAATCAATCATCTCCACCATAACAAATATGGATACGAAGAAAAAAAAAGGATTTTAATCACTAAAATAGTATATATTTCAACACTTTCTCTGGACCATCCATTTCAAATCTTCACATATCTACCATATTCATCGGGCTGATGATGCACAAAAAATAATAAACCCAAAATATAAAAATAAATTTTTTTGAGAGATTATAACCTCTCTCTAAGTCTGCAAAAGAATCCACCCAAAAATCTTTATACAAGATCAGACAATTTGATCCAAACGATTAATGCAAAAAAACTGATTTATGAGAGCAACCAAGTCATGC